GCAGCAGCTGCTGCTGCTGCTGCTGCTGCTGCTGTCGGTGGGAACCCGGGGACAGCCGCCGCAGCGGGGACAAAGAGTGCTGCTGCTGCTGCCGGGGGGCCCCCAAGGCTGAGGGGCCCCTCCTGCGGGAGCTGCCTTGGCTGTGTGTTCTAGGTCTTGCTGCTGCTGCTGCTGCTGCGCATGCATCTTGCTGCAGCTGCTGCTGCTGCTGCGTGGGTTCCTGCTGCTGCGTGGGCTCCTGCTGCGGCGTGGGCTCCTGTAGCTGCTCCAGCAGCTCGTCCAGCTGCTTGCGGGCAGCTGCGCTGGGGGGGACAGGAGCAGCAGCAGCAGCAGCTGCTGCTGCTGCTGCACCCACAACTGCTGCTGCTGCAGTAGTCTCGCGGTCCTCGAGCCTGCGCTGTACATACACCCGGCGCCAGCCTTGCTACAGCCAGAAGCTATGTGCTGCAGCCAGCAGCAGCAGTGACGGCAACTGCAGCAGCAGCAACTGCAGCAGCAGCGGCAGCAGCAACAGCAGCAGCAGCAGCAGTAGTAATGGCAGCAGCAGCATACTTAGCAAGCACTGCGGGGATCCGATGCTCCAGCAAATGGGGCGGCAGCAGCCCCTCAGCTGTTCGTGCTGCTGCATTCTCTGCTGCTGCTGCTGCTGCTGCTCTGAGAGCAGCAAGAGGCACAGCAGCAACGTGGCCGTCCTCCAGCAGCAGCAGCAAGAAGCTCGCGTCCTCTAGACATCCGGGGACCCCGCTGCTGCTGCTGCTGCTGCTGCTGCACCTGCTGCTGCTGCACCTGCTGCCGCTGCACCTGCCGCTGCTGCTGCTGCTGCTGCTGCTGCTGCTGCTGACAAGCTGGAGGTCAAGAAGACGAAGAGGCAGCCAGGAGCAGCAGACGCAGGAAGCCCCGCCCGCGGTGTACATACACAGCGTGCCGCTGCAGCAGCAGCAGAAACGCAGCAGCAACAACAACACTAGTAATGGAAAAGAGGCAGCGAGGCCAGAAGCAGCAACAGCTGCAGCAGCAGCTGCTGCTGCTACAGCTGCTGCTGCGCCTGCGGCAGAAACGTCGGCAGCTCTCAGCAACCGATGTAAGCAGCAGCAGCAGCACCACGGCAGCAGCAGCAGTGCCACAGCAGCAGCAGCAGCACCATGGCAGCAGCAGCAGTGCTACAGCAGCAGCAGCAGCAACATAGCAGCAGTAGCAACAGCAGCAGCAGCACCTGGTGGTCCCCACGAGCAGCCCCAGCGATCCCTCTTCCAGCTCAATCCACCGCTGCACGCAAAGGGAGGCTTGCTGCTGCAGCAGCAAATCTCTACCCACAGATTTGCTGCTGTAGCAGCAAATCTCTACCCACAAACTTGGACAAATAACCACACTTTAGGGTTTAGGGTTTAGGGTTTTGATCTACCATGCAGGACACTGCCCCGTCCCGAGCCTGGGGCGGCAGCTCCAGCCGCCATGCGTGGCTCAAAACCCCATACTGCTGTTGCTGCTGCTGCTGCTGCTGCAGCTGCTGCAGCTGCTGCAGCTTGATCCCATCCCAGCGCATGCACTGAACTTTAGGGCACTCTGTGTAGTGGACGCAGGCGTATATGCTGATGCTGCAGCAAAAGAATCCTCTGCTGCAGGGCCTGAGGGCTCTAGGGCAACGGGGGGCCCCTCTGCTGCTTCTGCTGCTGCTGCTGCTGCTGCCTGGGGGGCCCCCTTGGGGGGCAAGTTTGTTGGGGGGTCTCTGCAGCAAGGCAGCAGATAAGCTGTGGCGCAGTTGGCCCGAGCTGCATTGTCAAAGAGACTTGCTGCTGCTGCTGTAGTTGCTGCTGCTGTTGCTGCTGGTGCTGCTGCTGCAGTTGCTGCTGCTGTTGCTGTTGCTGCTGCTGTTGCTGCTGTTGCTGCTGCTGCTGTGGCGGGGGGATCCGCTGCTGCGAGCTGCGGCGGCGGCTTGGCGTTCAGCCTGCGAGGCAGCAGCAGCCGTGTTCGGCCCATGGCGGCTGCTGCTCATGCTGCTGCTGCTGCTGCTGTTGCTGCTGCTGCTGGTTCCGCTGCAGCAGCAGCTGCTGCCGCTCTGTCGTTGCTGCTGCTGCAGTTAGCCGAATTGTTTCTTCTTCACACACACCAAATCAAGACACAAGACTAGCCACAAATGACATTATAGGTAAAGCAGCTGCCTCCAAATCAAAAGGGTTCAGAAGGGGCCCCCAGAGGGGGGGCCCCCCGGGGGCCCCCAGGGAGATCCCGGGGCCCCCTAGTGAGCCATTGGGCCTTTGTTTGGAGTTAAATTTCAAATGAAACGAACAAATTTGTTTCTTTTAATTAACTTTCAATTAATTTCCAGAAAAATAATTATAATTGGTCTAGACCGAAGGAGCCGCTTTGGGTACTCCGGTTTCAAGTGTATGTACACTGCAAGTAAAAAGACAAGAATACAAATAAAATGGAAATTCAAGAATTTGTTTTTTTCTTTTTTAAATTAATTTATAATAAAAATAAATAAATTGAAAATTGAATTTACGCTCAGAGTATTAGAAGGCACCAGGTGGACATACACCTCGCTGCAGCTGCGGCACATTTGCTTGCAATTATGCTTCCACTTCCCCATTTACATTTATTTCTCGATTTATATTCATATTTACATTTATATTCTTATTTATTTTTATTTAAGTATTTAATTTGCATTTTAATTCACATTTATATCGACTTCGGGCTTCCACTTGTGCCTAAAACGCATTTTATGTTGGCGAGAAGCGACGCCGGTGAAACGGAAATTTCTTTGTGCGCTTCTGCCGCATCAAAGCTCATAAATATCGCCGAAGATGAGTAAAAATATATAAATATAAATGTTTAAATATTTAAATACATAAATATATAAACAATGAAATGTCTATTTGAAGGATTTCCTCAAATGCGATGCATGCAGGTTCACGCCTAGTAGTACGCGCGGTGTACGTACACCGCAGTGCACGCAAGCACTAGTTCCCGCACTTAAATTTTGAATTGAATTTGATTTTGAGCTTAAAAAGTACTTTTTCAGTGATTTGAGTCGTCAAAAATTATAAAAAGTGTCAAAACTTTCGTCTTTTTTGCAAAACTTTCAAAAAGACTTTGTTTTCGTGGAAGTTCCAATTAAAACGCATTTTGGTCCTTTTTGGGTTTTTAGAAAGTCCCAAAAGCTCCAAATGCATGCAAAGAAGTTCCAAAATAGCATTTCTTGGCCTTTACGTGGAAGTCCCAAGTAAAAGGAAAACAAAAGCTTCGTTCTTAAATTTAAGAACTGCACGAAAAAACGCGCATCCAGAGGGCCCTTGAGTGTACGTGTGGGGCCCCACACTTAAATGGAAACTTTTTGTTTTTCTTTTTAATTCTTTTGTCAACTTTAAAATTTTCACTTTTGGCCCAATTGGCCAGAATTAATTATTTTCCTCCAAAGATTTTCGGCTTTTTTAGACCCACAGGTCCAAATTCCAAATTTTCGAGAACTATTTTACACATATAAGTATAAAATAAATAAATAAATAAATAAATAAATAAATGAGTATGTACACAAGTATATTTATTTGTTTGTTTAAGAATAAATAAATGTTTGAAAATGCAGGAAGTGAATTAATGCGTTTATTCATTTTAATATGACGCTGGCCGCCGCTGCATGCGTGCAGCCCACTTATATAAATTAAATAAATTAAATAAATAAATTTAAAACACTAAATGAATGAAATAAATGAAATAAAGAAATGAAAGAAAATAAGAAAAAGTGATTTTAAAGCGTTTGATTTTCGCCACTATTAATAAAAAGATAGAAATATATAAAATGTACTTAGAAGAAGTATATATAATAAATTGTATTTGCACTGTTTTCAATAAAAAGAATAAAAACTACAAAAAGTAGTTCCTAAAAGTAATTCTAAATACCACTATTAATAAAAGAAAAAGCTGATTAGTACATATTCATATCTTTAATTCTTTTAATGCACATCAAAATATAATTGAGTACACAAATATACATATATCTATGCATATATATATGCATATATCTATATATATATATATGTGTGTGTGTTTATGCATATTATATATATATATATATATATTTGTTCATAACATATATATATGCATATATGCATCTATTTATACTTCACTATATATATATATGTATTTGTTCATATACGTATATATATATATATACATATATATGCGCATATTTATAATTAGCTATATATATATGTATGTATTTGTTTATATGCGTATATATATATATACATATACATGCGTATATTTATAGTTAGCTATATATATGTATGTATTTGGTTGTATACATATATATATACACATATATACATATATATTCATATATTTATGATTAGCTATATATATCTATATATATGTATGTATTTGTTTACATACATATATACATATATATGAATAGATTCATACTCAATTATATACATATTTATATATTTGTTTATATATATATATATAGATATATAAGTTTGCACAGATTAATATAGAGATACACACAAATGTCTACTGTATATAAATATAAATATAGATAAACATACATATATATATATGTGCGTTTATATATGCAGATAAATATTTATAAATAAATAAACATATTTATCCGAAAAGATATAAATATATGTAAATATGTATTTATACAGGTGAGTATGGGTGAGTATTTAAAAATATATAAACATATTAATCCAAAAAGATATAAATATAAATATGCATGTATACAAATAAGTATTTAAAAGTATAAAAACATATTTTTCCAAGTAAATATATTTGCATTTATATATATAAACCCACTTCTTTGAGTGTATGTACACACAACTACATATAATTAATTCTGCATTTATGCAAATATATTCATAAACACATTTTTGTTTATTTACATTTCTTTTTATACATGAATACATATTTATAGATGTAAATATATATTTAAATATACATATAATTAAATAAATATATACTTAAATATGCATATAGTTAAGTAAATATGTATTTAAATATATATAATTTAATAAATCTATATTTAAATATATATATAATTAAATAAGTATATATTTAAATACCCTTATTTGTACAAATAAATGCAATTATGCACGATTTGTTATGAAGTGCAGATTTAGATTTTGATAAAAAGTAGAAATTTAATTTGAAGTAAATGTCTGGAGTTTAAACATTTATTTATTTCTTTTTTCTTTTATTCTTTTTTATTTCTTTTTTTAATTTTCTTTATTCCCTTTTAATCTCTTTTAATCTTCTTTTGTCTTCTTGTCTTTTTCACCGGCTGCCTTTTTCTTTATATCTGTGCCCACGCAGATAAGCTGCTGTTGTTGTTGTTGCTGCTGCTGCTGCTGCTCATGCTGCTGCTGCTGCTACAGCTACTGCATCAGCAGCTGATGCTGTAGGGATAGCCATAGCCGCATTGGCAGCAGCAGCGGTAACAACAGCAGCAGCAGCAGCACCAGCAACAACAGCAGCAGCAGCAGCAGCAAAAGCAGCACGGCAGCGGCTATGGCATGTATAGGAAGGCAAGGCCCACAGAAGCAGCAGCTGTAGACAGCTGCTACAGCTGCAGCAGCAGCAGCAGCAGCACGAAAAGCAGCAGCAGTGGCAACAGCTGCAGCATGATCCCCCACCGGCACCCGTGATGCCTTTCTGCTTCGCAGCAGCCCAAATGTTCAACTCCAAACCCTAAACCCTAAACCCTAAACCCCAAACCCTAAACCCTAAACCCTAAACCCTGAACCCTACGCCAGGTGAAGAAGCGCCCTCCTTCCAACCTTCCGCCTTCTGCTCAGTGCAAGAGCTGCTGCTACACCCTCCTTTTATTTTAATTTATTTAATTTAATAAAAAGGGAAAAAGAGAATATAAAAAAGAAATAAAATTCAAAATAAAATTCAAGTTTTTCTTTCACCCGCTGCTGCTGCGTCTAATGATGGACAAACTCTTTTGCAGTGCAACGCCTGGCCATTTCAACAAACCCTAATAAAGGGTTTTGCTGTTTGAAGCCAACTTAGAGCTTGTCTGCAGGAGAAGCAGCAGCAGCAGCAGCAACAACAGCAGCAGGAGCAGCAGCAGCAGCAGCGGCACTGTTCCTACTCCGCAGCAGCAGCAGCGGGGACCAAGGGCTAAGCTTAGCTGCTGCAAAGGCTTATTGGCATTTTCTTTAACTAATTAAAAAATTAATCCTTTAAGAGAAGCAGAAGGGCTTTATGGGGTTGCAGAACAGCAGCAGCAACCATTGCTGCCGCGTTGCCGACTCCAAAGCAGCAGTAGCAGCAACAGCAGCAGCAGCAGCAGCAGCAGCAGCCTTTTCGTAGAGTCATTTTAGGGCCCCCCTTTGTTTCTTTTTGAGAAGAAAATAAAAGGGCTCTTGTACGTGGCTGGAGACGTTGGTGTGCTTCGCGCCCGAGCCACGGGAGCAGCAGCAGCAGCAGCAGCAGCAGCTGCTGCACCAGAAGCAAAAGCAGCAACTTGTCTGCATGAAGCTGCGGTCTTCTCCTGTACTGGACCCATTCATACGGGGAAGAACTTGCAGCAGCAGAAGCTGAGTTACCAGTGTTACCAGTGACCACCAGCAGCACCAGCAGCAGCAGCAACACTGCAGCAGCAGCAGCAACAACACTGCAGCAGCAGCAGCAGCAGCGGCAGCATTCGCTGCAGCAGACGCGTCGTAGGCGAAGCAGGCATTAGGGTATAGCTACAGCAACGGCAGCAGCAGCTGCTGCTGCTGCTTGGTACCGTAGCCGCAGACCAGCAGCAACAGCAGCAGCAGCAACTGCAACAGCAGCAGGAATTACATCCCCTTCAAAGTCGAAGCAGCACAATGGGCAATTCTGTACCTTCTGGGGAGGCGGGTGGGTTATGCTGCTGCAGCTGTTGCTGCTGCGGCAGCTGCTGCTGCAGCTTTTGCAGATTTTTGCTGCTGCTGCTGCTGCCTCTGTTTTGGCGCTGTCGTGCCTTGCATAGTTGCTGCTGATCT